AGTTCTCTTAGGTATGGTTATTATAATATAAGATGCCGCAGTTATCTAATTAGAAAGCAATAGCCCAAGATAGGCAGAGATGAAGAAAGCTGTTTGAGGAGGCAAAAGATTTACAATTTCTGTAAAGCCAAGAAGAACTTATTCTTTAAGGCTTGGTAAGTTAATGATTCGAGTGGATAATTTTTAAAAATCCTCCTAATAGTCTTGCCTTCACAAAATTTTCTGAAATTAAAGATCTTTTCGGGTTAAAAAAAATATAAAGTTTTGTATCAATATATTTTGTTGTTATTCTGTTTACCAATCATTCTTTACTTTTTGGACTATCATCGAGGATTAAACTAAGAAATAAAAAAGGGCATGTACTCATTTTGATCTAAGATAAAATAAAATTAGAAATAACATGATAAAAACCAGTCTATATATGCAATCAGACTATGTCACAAGAACGCCAGAAGAAGGAGTGACAAGAGTACATATCAAGTAAAAATAGAAGAAAGGAAACTAAGCGAAAGACCTGGAAGAAGAGAATACAAGAGACAAAAAAAAAAAATAATAATAATAATAATAATAATGTTCAAAAGCATAATAATGATAAGAAATAACTAGATTTTAGGAGTCCTATGTAATTGTTTTAGATTCATAAAATCATAACATACAGAATATTACAAATAATTCCATTTAGTCGTTAATAAGATGGTTATCAATTGCGTATGAAGTATAATGGAAAATAATTTTGTGATTCCTCTAGTTCCGTTACAACACTTCTTATACAAATTTAAAAATATTTTTCCTGAATATTCAAATAAATGGCAAATGTGCAAGCTCATTGAACAAAAAATATTAAATTTTAAATATAATTTGATATTATATAAAGTATAAAATAAGCTCGTACTTTTAACAAATTCTGCTATCTTACAATGGCACAAACGGATATATAAATATAAAAAAAAAATATGCAGCTGTTCTTTTTTAATAGATAAATACATTTAATTATGAAAAACCTTAATTACCTCAAAAACAACAAACTACAATTTGTTTTTAAAGCAATTAACTTATGATTTTGAGATATTGCTATTTAAAATCTTTCACTATCTTCAAGCATGAACTTATTGGACCATTTCAACTAAAATAAGTTTTAAAAATACAAAAATAAAAAAAAATTTACTTGGGTTTATAACCACTAGGGATATTGTGTCACTATTTTTTTTTCAAAGAAAGCTGATTCTAAAAAAAGACTTTTTTGCTCTGGTAAAAAAATTGAAATAATATTAATTAAATATGATTATCATAAATGATATGTTAGCATAGTATGAATACTTATATCTTAATTTGTGCTTTTTTGCATATTGTTTTATTAAATTCATATAGGAACATAAAAGTAAAACTTAAATCATAAAAAATCATAGCATTGACAATTAATTGAATTATAACATGACATCTATTGTTCAAACGACTTAAAAATTAATAAGCCCCATATATATTTCTAAACAATGGAAAAGGAAAAGCCTTTATCAAAATTTAAAAAAATAAAAACATTAACCATTAATTCAAACTTTAAATACAACCTTTGAAATAATTGACAGCAAGAAATACGCTCTGAATGTTTTATGTAATTTAAATAATATGTCGACAGTGATTGTTTATTTGATACAATTTTAACAATGTAATAAATTCTACAATTAGTTCATCACCAATTAGATTATCTGAATCAAATAAAAATATTAATCAGACTTTTCAATAAATCATTGTCAATGTATAAGTGAAAAAAAATTATAGATAGTTTGATTTAAATAGTAAATAACAAGATGACACTATAAGAAACCAGGTGATGTCATTTTGTAAATCCACAAAGATGTGGATAAGTCTGTGGATTATAAAAGCACTTTATTACACTTCAACATACCATATGTCCTCACTTTAAGAATACCAGTCGAGTTTTCAAATAGCTCGTAAATATTTTATTTTGTTATATTACAAAGACGCAGAGCACTGATTCTATTAATATCAAGGACCAAAACAAACTATAAAATTTTATTATAAAAATAAATAAATATGATTTTATTTTTATTTTGTCGGAATCAAACTTTCCTTACAAAATAAAACTTTTTCATAAAATTGTTCTATATAACTTTTATATAGAAGTAAAATAAATAAAAAACTGTTAGTTCTCAATGAAAAAAAAAAAAAAAATGAAACTTAGTACTAACAGTGAATAACTGTCTTAGTCCCTGATTATTACATCATTTCACAAAAGATCTACATGGATAATGGTGAAGGATTTACCATCCCTATCGACATCTGATAGATAATGAGAAGTTAAAGATAAAAAAGAAAACCATTGAATTTTTCCACAAATCTAACTCTTGAAATAATTTATTCAATATAAGGACACTTATTCGAATATGAAATAAATTACTAAGATAGGCCATCAAATTCACAAAAACTTTTCCACATTAGAAAAAAAGTTAGGAAAAGATTATTAAAGAAGCAGTAGAATACAAAAATAAATAAGTTATAATTAAAAAAATTAGATCAACATAATCGCTAAATTGAGGTTGATAAGACAACTAATGATTCCTAAAATGGTTAAAAAGTACATTTATATTATTCTGTATGGAAATTCAAATGGAAATGTAAAAGAAGAATAAATATACCAGAAATAAATACAAAAGAATTGGAACACTCATCAGTAGCATCTGCTAGACAGGTTTTGCTAAAATAAATTTAGAAACGGTGGCATTTACCTCAAAAAATTTTTTTTTTTTTGTTTTGAGTGATGAGAATCAATATCTGAAGTTAAAAAATTCTTTAGTATTTAAAAAGTCCCAAAAATCAAAATTATTCTTTTATAAAAGAACACGCAATACATTTTTTGGGTTGTACTTCCTGAAATATCTTATTTCCAAATTACAGGTAAAATGATTACTTCTGTCTAATTATAAAATGTTCTCATTGTTATTATTTATGCATTAAATATTAATTAGAATTTTTCCAATTAACCTTAACACAAAGCAAAAAAGAAAATGAAAAATAAAATCAGTAGATTGTCTTAAATACAGTTCTAAATCTTATAATTTTTATCGTATGGATTAGAATGAATTATGGCAGTCAGTTTAAAACTATATTATATTCTAAAAAAAAATGAATCAGTCAGTCATAAAAAATGGCTTTACCTACAAATAATGAGCTCAAATGAAAAAAATGAATCAATGTAAAATATCAACAGATGGACAATAATTTTGTGAATACAGATGAAACATAATATATTGAATACACTTACACCAAAAATCTCTAAAGATATTTTGAATTTCGGTTAAATAAGGTCAATTTTTTTTTTGTCCATCCAAAGATGCCACTATAATATAGCCATTGGATAAAAGGTTAATAAAGAAATTCTAAAATCGAAAACAAATTCTAAAATTACAGAAGAAGCTAATCAAGGATGTGGTCAATACATAAAATATTATGTTACATAATAGTATTTTATATATTGAATGCACGCCCGACTAACTTTCTCTGAGAATAGAACCATGGTCAACCATCTGTACACTATTAGATCAAGGTCTTATCTAAAATATGAAACTATTTTCCTGAAGATGATTTCATAAAAGAAACTCCTGAAAAAATGAAGGAAAAAATATATACTAATAACGAAAAAGAAGCATAAAAAAAAAATTATAAATAGAGGATTACAGAGAAATAAATTGTAGCTTATTACACCATCAATTAGATGACTACCTTGACTAGGATAATCCCAAAGAGGAAGACCATGAAGAATAATTAATAGAAAAATCATGAGAAAACCAAGCAATCGATAATTTCCGAATTATATGGCACAATCTAAGATATCTGAAAATTTTAAACCGCTTAGGCCATTTGAAACAACCCAAAAAGTTATTAGAAGCTATTTTAACCGCAAAAAGAAAAACCAAAACATACACTCAGCATTCATACCAGATATATACTTATATTATTAATATGTCTTTAGTTTAATTGTAAGTACACATTTTACAAGTAAAAAATCTGTTATTTGATATACCATTAGTATATATTTTAAATAAACCTGTACATGCATATGTACTTTTATCATTTAATTTTAATTTACATAAATATTTTTAAAGAAGCCTGTATATAAAGAGGTTTGACTATATATCACACAACCAAAGGAGGTACTACTGTAAAATTGTCACTTTATTTTGATGGGTGGCAACAATTTCTTGATTAGAACATACATGAAATCCCGAGTTTGTTCGGAAGAGTCGAAACCATCCGGTGAGGACCCCACCTCAACTGAAAAGGACCGATTGTGAATTTTTTTATCCCTTTTGAGCGAGGACAGTGAACGGAATTCAATTGCAACAATTTAATTACAACTAATTAAATGAAAAAGATCAGAAGGGAGTTTGCTGAAGTTGTAAATAGTGATTTAAATAAAGGGAGGTTATACTGTGAACAGGTTGTAAATCTTTGGAAATTCTTGGAATCCTATTTATGCGAGATCTTGATCCACTCATCAAAGTGGAGTGACACATGTACAGACGTACCCCAAAATATATCACAACATGAAAATAACACCGCTAAAAAAAGTGAAAAATTAAATTATAAAGAAATAATAGTTTAATAAATTGATTACCACAAATAAATAGTTAACTTAAGATGATTATAAATGGACTAGAATAGAATATGATTTAAGAATATTCATTTAAAATAAACAATAATATAAAAATAAAATAAGGATCAAATAATACTTGCGGTCAGGTACAAAGGAACAATACATCACAATCAATTTTTAAAAAAAAAATATTTCTCCAAGAAATAATAAGAGGCTTATATCTAGTGACTAGGTTTTGATAGTTTTTAGAAAGGAGGGAGATGCAATCGCTTTAAAATAAATCGATGATTGAATGAATTGGATACTTTTTCCACTAATTAATTCTTAAGCTCTGAACATTACCATTAAGAAGTATAAAAAAAGATGGTAATGCCCTTTTGTATAAATAGTTTTTCAATCATGCCGAAGCTTTTCAGATGCTTCCGATTACAATTAATAACATTTAAGAAATTGAGAATAACAATTTTATTAGAAAAATTGTTTTGGTTCCTTCTTCCGAATAAACTTTTAATCGTAATTAATCAGCCGTATACGAAGAAAACCTCCTTAGGAGCTTAGGTTTTTGATGATTTAAACAATTTCAATGATTTCCTTCCTCTGCTCGGCGAAGGAGTTCCAATCTTCGAGTCTTCTTCTTCATTGTACTTATATTTCTTTTCCGCTGCAGACATTACGCACTGTAAAAATTATACCTCAGTTAAAACAATAATCAAAAATTCATTAAAACAGCATATTATTATTATTTTTTACAATTTTCATTAGAAAATTGTAAAAATATGTACATATGTCCTTTAAGTGTTTATTATTTCATTAATATATGCGCATAAAATAAAAGTGTTTTTTTTATATTTATATTTTTTGTTATTACATTACTTTTGTTTCTGTTTACACTTTCAATACTACGAATATAAGACAATAATACGAAGATAGGATTTACGAGAAGGCTTATCACTGCCTTATCAGTGTTCAGGTTATAAACATTTGCAGATAGCTGTCAGTGCCGGCCTGCTAGTGAAGGAGTACCGTTTATTATTTACATTTAAAGTCCAACCTGTCCATAACTGATGTGTTCACCCTACTATATATTTCATATAATAGGTAAATGAAAGTAAACATTTTTTTTTTTTTCAATAATTCTTAGCAGGCAAATCTGTCTAGAGAATTACATTTCAGGAGACATAACAACAAATGTATATATTTAATTATTTATATAAACACCGAAAGTACTTTAAAATAAAAATTATGAAAATACCTCAGTGATGTCCAATCTCGGAGCTCTCATTTGTTCTGGAAAGTGCCAAGGCTTCCAATGAGGTTTATTGATCATTTTCCATTCGTGATAACCCAGCGTAGCTTTTTGAAGGCTTTTTACCATCTGTTGAAACAACCATTTATACAAAAAATAATATGCATATTAAAATAACAATAAGTGAAAATAATTATTTACCTTTGGGCCGAATATTTGGGTAACTTTATTTACTAACCAAGGTGGAAGCGTACCTCTGGGATCGGTTTGTGATATATATCCCAAATTACACCCTCCACCATCTATCTCTCGAACAAGAAAGCCTATTAAAACCAACATTATAAACTCAGGTAATCATTCAATATACTCATCAGTAAATATATTAGTATTTAATTATTATTTAAATTAGTTTAAATTAATTTATACCTGTCAAATAAGAAGTGGCACGTATGAATCCTTTCTTAGGTGGATAGTTGATATGATAGACGGAATGATTTAGGATATATTTTTCTTTCCCTAAATCTAGCCATGATCTCTGAAGTACAAAATCTCTATTAGCCAATGGGCTTGGGCAAGACACTATGAAAAATAAAATGAAAAACATTTGTAAATGAATAATTTTAGTAAAAATCTACAATACATATTATTATTATTAAAACACTTTATTCAGAAATATTACAATTTGTCACAGTTTAAGGACACTTATAATAGAGTTCAGAGATTGCATTCATACCGTATATACAAAAATATAAATAAATAAAGTAATAACAAAAGAATAAGAAGAAAGAACAAAAGAGTAAAGAAAAAAAAAAAATATATATATATATATATATATATATATATATATATATATATATATATACACATAAGTAAATAAAAGTAAAACAAACACCTTATATAAAACATACCTATATACATTATTTACAATTTGCCAGGTGATCTCCGAACCAATCCTGTCCCCTCCACATGTGGAGGAAAAGGGAGGCTTAGGAGATCCCTACGCTTCTCCCTCAGCCACTTCACTGGTATTGTAAACCAGCGGAGGATGAGTAAGAGCGCTACAGCCACAGACACTCATGACTTGAGTGGAGAATCTGGCCATTGCTAGAACTCCAAAATATCCATATTTACAAAAGGTCTCGTGGCCACTGCCGCTTTAACCTACGAAGGGGATTGTAGGGATGGGTGGTGCTTGATAGGGATTGTACAACGGGATTTGGGTGATGAGAAAGGTTCTGGTGAAATTTGGAAAATTTGGCTGGGTTAAGATCAAGAATAAATAGGATATTAAGGTCATGGTGTAGGGTTTTATTGGTTACATAGAAGGGAGCATTGACTATTGTACGGAGGACTTTAGACTGAAAGGATTGAAAGCGTTTGATGTTAGAAAATTTGGCTGTTCCCCATAGTTCTAGTCCTTAAGTCCAGATGGGTTTCAGACAATACATATAGAACAGATATCTATCAATGACTATGGATTTTCATGAATGAGATGTGAAATGAAAAAGGGAATTTCGTTGAGAAGTGACAGATCCCAATTTCGAAACTTAAAGTCATTACAACTACAATAAAAGTCAACAAAAATTAGAATGTTTCAAAAGTAGAAATGATTTTTTTTTTTTTTTTTTTTAAGGATTCCAATGCAGAAACCAAAAATTTATTTTACAGCCCCAAATGAACCGTTTTCAAGATGGACTGTAATTTTTTGTGGAAATCCTCTTGGATGAAATGGTTTCCATAAGATACTTAACACATGTTTAGGTTTTTATAATTAAAATTTTGCTGTTTATGATGATGATGATATAATTTTAGCTACACTCATTGAAAATAATTAAGAAGGCATTGAGAAACTCGCTGAAACTTTGAAAAGTGAAGCAGAGCAAAGTGACCCTTCTCAAAACAAGAAAAAATTTCCTCTGAAGATATGTCTGCAAATGCTTTGTTTAGGAAATATTCGCACCTAAAGATTTTCATTATTATGAATTATTTACGTTATATGAAATAAATAAAACCTAATTATTTGTTCTAACTACTTTATTAATTAAATATAAACATTAACATTCATATTAAATGTTGTTCAAAGTGAAGGTATGTCCGCAAACGCTTTGTTTAGGAGATGGATTAGATAGAATACTAATATGGCCTTTTATCCCTAATTCTATAAAAAATAAAAATTAATTAATTAAAAAAACTATCTTTATATATAACTCTATAAAGATAAGGATTAATACTATTTGGAATTAGCATTGGGAACTCTGAATAACATTCATCAGTTTCGCAGAGGCTTCATTATGCCTTCCATTTATACTAATTGTGAATTTGCCAATATAGTGTTTGTATACAATTTTTGCAATGCTAATACTAATGCTGCCTGTCATGAATATGCCAGGCGATTTCCGAATAGAAGATTACCAAACAAGTCTATCTTTAGCTTCACGTTTCAACTTCTTTGAGAAACTGGTACATTTGCTATAATACAATGTGCTGATGGTATTTTTTTCCCTTTACAAAATAAAGAAAGGCATGCGACCAATTAATAATGTTTAATTAATAAAGTAGTTGGAATAAATAAATAAGTTTTATTTACTTAATATAACGTAAATAATTCATAACAATGAAAATCTTTAGGTGAGAATATCTCCTGAGGTCCTTAATTCATATTTTCAGTTTAGCCACTTAACCCTGAAACACCCTGTATAATAATAAGCTGAAAACTCCACCCAAGTAACAGAATCTGTAAAGAAAGAAAATTGATTGAGAGAGTACATAAATTCAAATACCTCGGTTCCACAATAACCTCCATAAATGACCAAGGGTTGAAAATCGACCAGTGTATAACAAGTGCAAACAGAGCTTTCTTTTTGCCCTTCCAAAGGTTTTAAGATCCTGACAAATCTCAAATTAAGGGTGTAACAATGCTGTGATAAAACCAGTTCTCATATCCAGCTGCAAAATCTGGACCCTAACCGACACTATAGAAAAAAGTATAGAAAGAATTGAGAGAAAAATCTTCTGAACGATTATAGGAGCGATTTGGGATCAGAATACATGATATAAAGAGAAGGAGGTTAATTTGAGCAGTACATGTATTTCGCAGCAATCCATGTGAAGGCCTTTTAACAACAATGAATGTCTCATAGATAACATGCAAAAGACCAGGTGAAAGATCAAATACCAGATAGATAGATAAAATTAATAACAATGTTATAAAGCTGCACGCAGATAACTGGAAAGAAATAGCCCAAGATATGCAGAGATTGAGAAGGCTGATTAAGGCAGCAAAAGATCAACAAGCTCTGTAATGTCTACAGAAAAAAATTATAGTTTTCAATGAACTATTGAAAAAGTTAATGGAGTAGAATAATTATGAGGCTCTTTGATTTTTTTTTTTTTTATATTTGTTAAATTATTAGGTAATTACTTAGCTAATTAAATTAATAATTTGGATAATTATTGAATCATTAGAAACATAATCAGTGTTCAAGGAGAAAATTGAGAAGTATGAAGGAAGATGGTATCTTCTGTTTGATCAAGCAGTTAGAATTTGGCAAGAACCGAGGAAGAAGGAAATTAGATGATTGCTATTGGTATTCAGTATAGAACATTCAAATTGGCTTACATCATTTGAAAAACTATTAAATAAAAACAATATTTACTTGAATAATATCCGACATCGTTATTTGGGTTTAAAATTCCAATATCATGTGATTCAATCATATGTTGATCCCATATTTTTCTGTACTCGGGATCATGCAAAACATCATACATTATTTCTGGTGAGATTTCAGGAAAAATGGCAAGCACCTAAAAACAAAAACAAACTGATTTTAAAAATAAAAAATAAATTTTAATACATAAATATATTTGATAAAATTCCCTGATTGCTGATCAATAATGATGCATGGTGCATACTTAACATCTTAGTTAATACATATGAGTGGCTTAATATCAAAGATGGACAATCATTTTCAAAAACTTGAGAAAAAAACCAACACAGCTTTAATTTAAATGAATTCTAATGATTTTACTTGAATATTCTTAAATATAATCATTAGAAACAAATCTGACTTTTTCTCCACTTTTAGAAAATGACAGATATCCGTCTTTGATATTTAGCCATTCATACCAATGGCTTCTATTATACTTCTTAATTTAAATATTGACTAAAACATGATACTAATTTGATGAGGATAATATAAAATTTCAATCAAGGAACTTCATTATTTATTTATTTATTTTCGCTCTCTACCTCGTCTTTTGACAATAGTGGGTTTCAATTTTATTAAAGGAAAAAATCTTAATTTTCGATTCCAGAAAGTCTATTATCTTTATTTATAACCATTGGTCTCCAGTTCCTGCCTTCTTCGCATTGTTCCTAAATCGAAATGTCTACTATTTCTTTCCATCCAATTCTCTCGGTTCTCTGAAAAGACGATTAGAGGAAAATCATCTTCATCAAGGCTATAGAAATCAGTCTTTTTGATTCGCGCTCAGTATTTCAAATGCAATGTGATTTATGATCACATGTTCTGCAGTATGTAGGATGCGACGGTGAAGTTGGGTCATAGGAAATTAATGCCCTTTCGAAGGCTATGCAACTGAGCAAAAAAACCTATCCCATGCCCAGTGAGTAGTTGAGAAATCATATAGGTTAGACTCATTAGTCAGCTATTGGAGACAGGACTGTGGCCAAATACTTCCTTATGGCTGACCCTTCATCTCTTCCATTTCAGAACAATCTATACGATTGTTCCTCAATCCTCACTCGAAGGTTCCCTGGAATACCCGTTTACTATTCTCTTCCCTAAGCATATTTGATAAATCTTCTTTCAGCAAGAGATCAAGAAGTATATCACTCAGCTATGACTAACGCTGGCTCAAGAGACACTGTCCACTATGAGAGGGATATTACTTGTTTTAGTTTTACTTTAACTGTAGTCCAAGTGAGGTGAAGCAATCATCCTTTCAAATCTAACATTAAGATAGGATAACATCTTAATGCATCTAATCATTTAATCCAGAACAGATACATAATACAACATTGCAGTAGAAATACAAAACATAAGAAAAATACAGGAACTACAAATACAATTTATGAGCTAGGTGAAGGTAGGAGTAACTTTAATACCTAAGAAAGTTTAAAGGCAATATTAATCAACAAAGCTAATAGTATAACATCCAGAACATTTTTTAACAGTTCCATATTCACTCCAAGATAGGGTTTAAGATCACATTGACCAAACTGTAGATGGAGTCACAAAGAATACTGAATATAGATGAGTATTAACGACTTTGCTCATATAAAGTGACAGAGGTATTCTAACTTATACAATTTTATTAATTAATTATGAAGGAATGCACTCAAAACAAACTTATTTTTTATTGCAACAATACTTAAACAATCTCAACAATTTAATCACTACTATTTTAATTTAATTCCAGGCACTTATTAATTAGTGATGACAATCTGAATGAGCTTTTCATACATATTTTGATTGTAGAGAAGGATGGTTGGGTTGATAAATCAAAATAAATAATTGTATTTAATTTCACATTCGCCGATGTTTCGACCCATAGTTCAGGCCTTCTTCAGGACTAAGAAAAGAACTAGATAGCAATAGGTATGAGAAACTATAAACATTGAATAATAAAGAATTAATATTAAAAAGGTGGAAAGTATAGACTAAATATTTTGCTTGATGTGATCTTGAAATATCAATTCAGAACAAATACTTAAGTTTTTATAGTCACTAAATTTGATGATTTTCTTGAAATGAGTAAACTTCTAAGACTTGCAGAAATAACATGCTAATACTGTTCGTCAATGTTGAGCTCAGCAATACAAAACATTTTGAATTAAAACGTATTTATTTGAGAAAATTTAATTTTGAATTCCTTTTTTGTCTCACTTGAATAGTTGGGATTCAACGGATAGACAATTTCACATTGAGACAAAGAATATGAAATTAAAACATTGATATCGACAAATAATATTCCGTAAATGAAACAGTAAATCCATTTAGAGGCTCACCTTTATCATTTTGAAGTTGGTATTATGTAAACCTTTAGTCCATACTTTGATAGGGCCTTTGTTGTAATCTAGTTTCCAGTCAGTGTGGCAATCTAGTAGATCTTTCAAACTGGAAAAATCGCTATCCTCTGCCACTCTCACTGCACCAACTTCCATTTAGAATGAATAAGAGATATATATATCACAGGCAGGGTTCTTGTTTTTACTGGTACAACATTCCGGAACCCTTTTTATGTATTTAAATATCTAAATAAATCAAATTCATGGGAACAGAACTTTCAGTAAATGCTATAATTACACTTGGCAATATAGCATACTTTGGTTTCCAAACTGTATACATTATTTTCCTGCCATAATTTTAAGATAGAATAGGAGAAATTAATTTTGAACAGCTGATAATTGCGCTCATTCTATATAGAACATCAAATATTATGTATTTTTTTCTCAGCAAGATATGTCTTTGAAAAAGTCCTACACACTTATCACTGACTTCCTATATTATCACAAGCTATCCTGACAGTAAACAAAGATAACAAGGAGATCGATTCTTATCTTGAGTAACCACTTAAAAACCTTCCTAGATGTTTGTACATGTTTTCCCAACGATTTCAGTTGTTATGGAAAAAAAAAATTCCAGTAATTTTAGTAGTTTTAAACTTCTACTGATCAATAATTTAAAAAAATACATTGCATTTACTCTGTACAGATTTTTTCCCTACTGTTTTGGATTTGAATTCTTTGCTTGTTCGGAATGTTGACAGTTGACAAGTTTTCTATCAAAACATGTCATTGTAGCAATAAATCCCAAAAGCTATTGATAATAGTTTTAAATGTTCTTAAATCTTTGAGTGTAATATTTTACCAAAATTTGAATAAGTTTTATGTTTTTCCTTCGGTTTAGGTATTCAAATTATTGTGGATGGGGTGAGAGGGTGGAGTTATCTCTCCCCCCATTTCTCATGCTCCTGTAACGACATCTCAGGAATAGCGGTTATTGGAAAATAACAGGTTATAGGTTATTCAGTTATTGTATTTTTTACTTTCAGTTTAACTGGCCGGTTATAAAATCTCAAAAATGAAATGTTAATAAGATGTAAAATTTTTAATAGACTTTTTAAAAACTTTTTATTTTTTTATACAAGCTTATTGAATAATAATACAATCTGTAACATTGAAGGGCAACAAGTATTAGTGCCACATGTGCTCATTCATGTTTGATTTACTTTAAATATTTTTATTCAGTTTACTTTGTATGTATTATGTATTCATCACCTTTCATAAATTTAACAATACAAAATTTTTCTAACTAATGTTTGTTTTTTATTTTTCATGTGTTTCGTTACTTTCCGTTTGAATCCAACAGGTCGTGTTTAAACTCATCGCTGCTGGATTTAATCGGTTGATGAGTTCCATCGATGGAATTAGCGATGTGTTAAGAAACTTCTCCATTATATTATGGAGGATAAATGTAATATTGAATCTCTTGGATAAGAAATTCGGCATTCAAATAGGTTGGTCAAAGATTTTTTAGGTGTTTTTCGACAAAGTCGATGAGGTCTGGTCCCATCCTTTCTATTATTCCTGGTTCTTTGAGAGTCTCCTCGTCGAATCCTTCTACACCATCAGTTTCTAGAAGCTTTTCGATATCAAAAGCGGTTGTCGATTCAGTAGTAAGGCCTGCGTAACCAGTGACGAATATGGCTAGTCCGAAGAACTCGAGGCGTTTCATTGAAGCGGTTATTTCCTCAAGAGTAGGCTTTTTGCCGCTATAACCGAACTTGTCCAAAGATCTGACCAAGGAGTCGTGATAAGTCTTTAGCAGAAAATTATGATTCTCTCGGCGAATCGTAGGTAGAATGCTCAAATACATGAAGTCCGTAACGGAAACTGGTAATCGAGAAACCTGAAGGAAAATATATTATATATTCAATACAAAAAATTAAATATAAATATTAGACTGACTTAACATATCTAGAAAAAAACAAGGTTTGTTAATCATTTACCGTAGTAATATGAACAGAAAATTTTCTTATAAATTCGTTTAAAAACAGCTGTTTTTATTACTTACTTCACTGCTATTGGTCTCTTCTGAAAGTCGTACTTGAACATCATGTTGTTCGACCAGCAATCGCCATGGTTGAGGACAGTGAATTCTGATTCTTCATATTTAACCAAGTTCTTGTACTTTTCATAAAAGTCTTCAAATGATATAATCAGCTTCTTTCCTACTTCTTCCCTGTAACGTAGAAAATTATTTAATTATTTTAAAGCTTTGCTTGTTTTCTATTAAAAGAAAGTTTTCTAGTGCCATTAGGAATTTAAGTTCAAAAACTATTTTAGATAATTTTACAAAGTGTTTATTGAAATGATTGTTTTATATATATGTTTATTCTTCGGTTGCTATGAAAATTCTTATTTGAGGGTTTTCGAGATGCTAAATTTGGGGTGTCCAGGAGGGATTTCATGGCTCAATTTGTGCCATCCAAATATATGGGCACATTTTGAATTTTTGAAGGTGGCACATTTCGTTGAGATTATGAATTTTCGAAGTGAATGCTTTCAAACTAGAGAACTAGAGGGAAACATGGGATAGCCGATATACTATCTATAATATTTCTAATATTACTTTCGGTTGCACCGTTTTTAGAAGAAGAGAAGTAATAAAATTTCTGGGGAGTGAGATTGACTTATGCGCCATTGGGTGAGGGAGGATGGGCACTTCTGTAAAAAATACAAATCTCAATTCACTTTCTCTTTAAAAAATAAATTTGAGCCTACTTTACTCCTTCGGTCAGTACACTTTTTTTTTAAGTTTACGGATTCCCGATCGATGTTGAACTTTCTTTTTAAAATTTATGGAGGATGTGACTATTTTCCCCACTTGAAGGAGAAAAAGATCCTCAATCATTGGATTTGATATGGCGTTTCGACAAAAAACACCTTTTAAAAATAATATATAAAGATGTATGCGAACCTGCCCTGCACATTCATTATTTTTAACATGGTGCTGATCATAATTAATTATTATATATTTTAAACAGTATGCTGTACTGTCTGTATTTTTTTATTAAATTTAACTTCCCTATACCTGAAAATTCCTATTTCAACTAAAAGAAGAGAGGCAATTTAATGCTGTGTGATTCCTATATCGGATTTTTTATTTTGCTATTTCACAAAATCTACAGGCGTTTCAAGGTACTATCCTTGGTCCCATCCTCTACACAGTTTATAAGCCTGACATCCCAACCCATCCTGACACTGTCATCACCACATATGCTGATGACACGTGTATTCTATCTGTTAATAATGATCCTTTAATTGCATCCCAAACTCTTCAATCACATATCACAAGCCTTGAGGAATGGTGTAAAAATTGGATAATAAAAATAAATTCCAATAAATTCCATCAAATTACTTTAACCTATGACTTCTTGTCCTACAGTATCCTTATAAAATTATTCCTGCTGAGCAAATCCACTACATAGTTCTCCACTTGGATAAACGTCTTACTTTGAATCCTCATTCTAGACTGAAACGACAACGAACTGTTCGACATTTCCGATTACTTCAGCACTTAGTAGACAAACGCTCTAAACTTTCAATTAATACAAAAGACTTATCTACATAAATATAATAAGACTTATATGGACATACGGAGTTGAGCTATGGGGCTCCAGTAAACCATCAAATTCCATTCATATCCAATCCTTACTATCCAAAATGGTTCGTAAAATCCTCAATGCTCCCTACTTTGTCACAAATAAAATAATCCCTAGTGATCTGAATGTTCCATATGTTTCTTATTATAGTTATAATTTCTATAGACATACGGAGTTGAGCTTTGGGTCTCCTCCAAACCATCGAATTCCTATATTCATAAAGATCTTAATGTAGCACATGTCACTAATTTTTCCCTAGCCAGATACCTATTCTTTCATGAAAAACTCCAATACCATCCGAATCCACTTGTTTCCACCCTTTTTTTTACTCGAGTTTACTCGAGAGAGTTTCGGTTTAGTGCTGCGGTGGGTAAAGATGGTACAAATTTTGATGGTGATATAGCAGCGATCCTGTTAGCTCTAAGAACACTATCCGGAAGGCAAGTTCAGAGCGCTGTTCTCTTTGTCAATTCGGAAGCAGCAATCCTCGCTATTACTGACGTGAATAAATGTCTGTCGAGGGCTATCTTGGAGTGCAAATCCCTCCTCTACGATCTAACACTCCGAGGCACCAATGTGGTCCTACAGTGGATTCCGAGCCATTGCGGTATTCCGGGAAATGAGGAAGCGGATAGTCTCCAGGAGGGGAGCAGAGTTGCCACAAACAGTCCATCCAAAATCTGACGGTTCAATTCGGCGAATGGTGAGGATGGTAGTGAAGGAGGAAACAAAATATATGCACAAAGACAAAGTGGACGGGAGACATGTCCTGCCTTGGCGGATATTAGGAATAAAACATATTTAAATGATTATATAAAAAAATCAAACTTATACTGGGCAGCAAGATGTCGGATGGTCAAATGACCAATGACTATGGCATAGGAAAAAAAAAAAAAAACTTGTTTCCACCCTTACTTCTTCTTCGATTCCTGATAGTCCTTCCAGGCGTCTGAAAAAGAGATCTTCTTACCTAGAATTATTTAGGGAGTGCTACCACTAGATAGTATCTCTTCAAGCCTGTTCATGTCATTATTTCTAATTTGTGCATATTTACTAGTTGTATTTGTATACAGTTGTAAATTCCATTAAATCAACAAAAAAAGAAAACTATTTAACAATACTTGAAGTAATAAATATAACTTGAAGCCTTACCAATCCTGACCCCAGCACTGCAGCATAACCCTGGAGGTGTGCAGAATACCTGCATGAAGAAAGCTTTTGATGACTTTGACGTCGGTTAGTAAACTATTGGGTTTGTAGTCATCTTTCGAAATGATCCCCCGCTCTTCGAGTACCTTCGCCATCCCGTGGTACCTTCCCAGTCCTCTCAGGGATAGGATGGCATGGTCCAAATCCATGCCTTTCTGTCGAGGTACCACGCTGTACCCCTGGACCTGAAAAATATGCCTATTAAAATATATTTTATAAATTTTTATTACATTTCATAGAAAACTGTATTTGTGCTTACCTTGAGGTCTTCTAATACGATAATTAGCTCCTTTGGATCGTAATGAATAAAGTTACACCAAAGTGTCTCATCCGTATCTTCGAATTCTTCCATTAGGTAATTCATATTTTTGTGTATTACGCAATATACCTGAAAATATAAGAAAACTTAAAAAAAAAAAAAAAGCCTGGAACCCCTTACAATCTATGAAGAGTCTTGGGTTCAGTATAATGTGAGGAAGTACTGTTACAAAGCCAACGGTTGTATAGGGAGGGAGGTGACGGACCAATATCACGCTCAACCGCCAGGTTTTTTCCCCCTCAATTAATTATTTAATTGAGAGTACCCTTTTTATAGAGGCTGGGTTTGCCCCAGAAGGATCTCCATGCCCCAGGGTCGACAAACGGCTAATGAAAAATTACTATTCGTCAGCCGGATTCGAACCTAGAACCTTGAACTCTGAGAGCCAATGCTCACCCAGTGATCTACCCCGCTCCCTAGCGAAACTTTTAATTTTTTTAAATTTTTGTAACTTTTGCAGAAAAATCCAGGTTATTGATTACTCATATTGTAATTTATCTGGTGGCTAAACCAATTTTTTTTTACGAATTGCTTTTATTTCTACTAGAATTTGATAACTTTAAACTTAGTTCAATTTTAATTCATCTTTTAAAGATGAAGTAATACTTTCTCATCGTAAGAAAAAAAGTTACTAAATGATTCTGGGGACATAGATATTTAGGTTACGGTTAACTTCATTGAGATATCAGATAGGGCAAGTCCCTTTATACAGCTCTAAGCTTATCGTTAAATTCTAAGATCTAATTTTACCACACATCGTAACTAATTTTCCAGCTTCTTTTCCGTGAAGTATGCTATATAGATAAACCTTAAAGGTTTCGAAAGAGAAGACCCTTTCTAAAAGAAAGAAGGCGCTACAGTTTATACCAACACTATTTTTCAGACTCCATCTTGAAAGGAGAGGGCGGATAGTAATGTCGAGATAGGAGGATCTTCTCAAATGACCTTTGACATTGATTTCAAATTAAAAAAAAAAAAAAAAATGGTTTGGTAAGTTCGAAGAAAATGAGCGAACGTCGGAGGGACACATTTTTTCAAAATTGATTTTTGATTTCTGCTTATCATGAAATGTATAACTAGAAATTTTGAAGGAGGAGGGTCAAGTGTTAGGATTTTTTTTTTACTATTACAATGGTTCGAATTAAAAATAATAAACAAAAAAAGGTTGCGACGCCCCAGAGGGCTAACACGCATGTAAGATACGCGTTGATAGGTTATTAACTGAAAATTAATGAGTTAAAATTCCGGTGGTGGAGGTACGTTTTTAACTCTGGCTTGATCCCCCGCCCTCTCTTCTGTCTTATCCCTTATATCCTAGTAAAAGGCGTGAAAGAGGAGATAAAAAAAAAATGCTGTAAAGAAATAATTTTTTTTTTTTAATCTTTACTTGACCTAAAAATAAAATTTTGCTCAAAATTACTGATTTCTTTCAATTAAGGCAATTGTCTCGTTTGCTTACCCCTTCTTCTAGTTCATGACCCCACCTGACCTTTTATGTGGTTCAATTAATAAAAATAAACTTACATGACTCTCTTCTTTTGCGACATTGTTCTCTTTGAACCAATCACCTGCCTCCCCTCCTGTAAGGATCTGCTTCATGATGAAGGACTTCTTGGCCAACCTTCCGTTGCCCAAGACTACTTTCGCTGTTACCCTCAGGATGGTCGAGGTATAGTTCTCTCCTTTGGGTAAAGCTGGCACCGACTGGAGATCTATAATCGAAGCGATTCTTGACTCCTTGTCCAACTTCTTCAACACTACTTCAAGGACTTCTTTTTCCATTTCTAAAATAAAGAAAACAATATTTAAAAAGTTAAATAATGTTTATTTATAATTGATGGATGTATATAACTGCATATTTAATAGTTTGAAAATAAACAAATTTCGATATATCAGGACTGGATATTTTTAATATGTAAAAGATAGGGAAGAGGATTAGCAATGAAATATTAGATTTTATTACAACAATTAAATATTATTGGACCGATACAGAGAACATTAGCATGGCCCCTACGCAAGGATGACACGCAAAATCGTGAAGCGTTCCACATTTTTCCATACGAGACTGAAACGACTAGAAACCGCCCAAAGTTTTCGACTACTGCAGCACTTACTAGACAAACGCTCTAAGCTTTCAATCAATTACAAACGACTCATATATATATATATATATATATATATATATATATATATATATATATATATATATATATATGACAATAATAAGACCTATTTGGACTTACGGAATTCAGCTTTGGGGCTCCACTAAATCATCGAATTCCTCTCGTATCCAATCCTTTCAATCCAAAATCCTTCGTAAAATCCTCAACGCTCCTTACTTTGTTATAAATAAAATCATCCATAATGACCTTAATGTTCCAGATATCAGATTTGGCCCAATCCAGATATCTGTCCTTCCATAATAAACTTCATAACCATCCCAACCCTCTTGTTTCTAACCTTGCTTCCTCCTCGATTCCTGATAACCCTTCGAGGCATCTGAAAAGAAGATGGCCTCGGGACCGGGACCTTCTAATATAGAACTTTCATTTGAGATCTACCAATGCGTAGTTTCTCTTCATGTTGTACATGTAATGTTACCAATGTCACATTTACTTGTTGTATTTTCCATGTAATACAGTTGTAAATTTCATTAAAATAAAAAAATATTAATATAGCTTGTCACCAAAAGAATCACATTATGGAAATTTGTCAAACAAAAAAAAATATTGCTAGGAACTAAACAAAAACAATTTATTATAAATACTTTATAATAATAAACACTTAAAATAGTCAACATTTCATTTTCATTATATTTTGGATGTCAGAACATATTCAGATAATTATAGAATAGTGTCAATAAAATTCATTATTTCATAAAATTCAATAAAATGTAGAGTACATAAGCACACGGTATAACTAGTCAGTAACATGAAGTTTTTTTTTTTTTGTTTTTTTTTAAACATATCACTTTTAATTCTCTATTGTCATGCTTTTGGATTGTGGTTACATATTTTATCATGTTTGAAATATTAATATCTTGTGAGCTTAATTATGAAAGTTTGTATTATTATATTTTTTATTTAAAGATCAAGTTTAAAATCTTCCTTTTTACTTTCACTTTCCTATGTATGTAATACACAGTAAGGATAAGTATTGCGATCGTGAAAATTTTTTAATCTGAGTTTTGAAGAGAAATATATGTTGGTTAATAGTCCCCTAAGTCCAAATAACCAAGTCCAAAGTCGTACGAAAGTGAAATCGCGTATTTAAGGTTTTTATATATTAGGGAAGTTACAGAAACTTTTTTTAAAAAATCAGCTTACCGGAAGTTGCACTTTATATAATGCACTAAACACACTTTTACAATTATCTCGAAAACCGCTCTAACGATTTTGATTAAATTCATCATATCAGTGTATAATTAAGCAGTTTATGTGTTTATAATTAATTATGTTTATTATTCTGATTGATGTTCTCTAACAGGGCAGGGCTTAAATGACTAATTTTCAGTATTAGCTTTCTTTGAAGTACCTTTAATTTCTTTTTTAATTGAAAAAAATTGATCATTTCACATTAATTTTTAACATGAAAAATGGTTAAATTTAAAATATGAAAGAATTTGATAAATAATTAAAGGAGAAATAAGAGATCATAAAGGAGAATAGTTGTACTTGATGAACCAAAGAAATACGAGCGCACCCAAGCTCGCCCGAAACATTAGAACACGCTTCCATACGTATTATATTATATAAATATTACTCCGAAAATATTACATAAATATAAAAATGTCATTTTCATAAATGCTACTGTTGGTATTATTTAATATTTAATTGTATAGATTACAACGACATAAATATTAAAATTTGTAAATATGAGGGTACTTGTACAAATAAAAATACTCGCAATGAAATATAAAGAAATTTAGCGTCTATAATTTTTTACTTTCACTCCCTCTTTATCTGAAAATAGTTATTTCTGCTTAGAAGAGGGAGGTAAGTTAAAGCTGTGTGATGCGCGCACCACACCAGATTTTTTATATTTGTAATGTTGTTAAATTATTAATTTATATTAAATTAAAAAAAAAAGCTAAGGTGGTTTTATTGAAAGCTCATTCCAATTAGCCATGTTAAATGTAGTGTATATTATTATATTATAAGGGAAGTGTATGTTATTCAAAAATCTATTTACTATTTTATGAATGGAGAAATTGCCTAATTTCCGTGAGAAAAAAACGTATACATATGTGTATTTAGATAAATATGAATTAAATAAATAAATAATTTTGTTTTGTTCCCATAATGTATTTTGAGTTTTGTAATGGTAGTGGCGTAAACTCCAGATAAAGTATATATATTTACTTCATGCAAATATTGTTTGCTAAGCAAATTACCTGTTTTCATCAGTCTGATTAAACTGTTATCAAACAAAACCTTTTCTCTTATCTTATCTTATTCTTGATAAATCATACCTAGTTGATTAAAGTTTGAAATTTATTAGGGCACATAGATATTATTTAAGAACAATGTTTATATAGTTGGCAGCAACCATTTTCATACAAACATTTTTTTGGACTTTAAATGGCGTTGGATTCCTTTTTTTACTCTCACTTATATGCGATATATATCCATTATAGGGTAAATATAGCGATCGTGAAAATTTTCGAATTTGAGTTTTCAACGGAAATTTTGAGGTCTCCTGGTTCCAAATAACCAAGTCCTGTAAAATGGTCTGTGAGTGACCAAAAGAATATCAAAGGCACCCGAACTCGCCCGAAGGATTGTTTATGAACTTAATATTATACGAACTCCGACAATATTATTTACATATGCATATGCTGTTTTCATAAATGCTATCGTTTGTATTATTTAATATTTAATTGTATAGATTACACAGATATAAAAATTAAAATTTGTATATATAAGGATAATTAAGAAAAATACAAATACCCACGATGAAATGTAAATAAATATATAATGTCTATAATTTTTACTTTAACTTTTTCTGAAAATACTTATTTCTGATAAGAAAAGGGTGTTAAGTGAAAGCCGTACGATGCGTGCACCAGATTAACATTAAGTTGGACTACTTTTTTTACATTTTTTTTTTGGTTTTTATTTAAAAAATAATTCATATGTACTTCTAGATTATTTTTACTGTGAAAATTTTTAGAAACTAGTAACACTTTAATTTTAAACTATGCTTAAATTAATTTATGATTACATTCCAGCAAAAGTTTTCATACAAGATAGCCGAAAATAATTTATTTTGAACAAGAAGATATAAAAAAAAAAAATTAAGGTGTGTGCTATCGACACACAATAGAAGTAAAAACATCAATAAGGCGAGGTTAATAATATGAAATATAAATTATAAATAATAAGTTATAATTATAAATAAAAAAGAATGAAAAGTTAAACAATTTCATTATACAGTATGCAGGTCAGATTTTTAGTTTCTGGGATATTTTAATTCATAACTGTAATAAAACTCGAAATAATTTGGGTTTGGACACTATTTTTTCCCTTTTCGTGTCTTTAACACGGGATCGCATTAAGATAAAATTTTGAATAATACCCTATCCCAGAGAGCATGAAATGCTGAACATTTCCCTCGCTTACAATATGCAGGTCCTATTTTTGGTTTTTGAGATATTTAAATCTATTTGCAAAAACAACATTAGTCGACTCCATCAGTGTTACATATCAGAGATCTGACGGCTCAATATAATTCACTCTTTTTAAAAAAAGAGTGCAAAACGCGTTTAATGAAGTTTTCTTGTAAAAAATAATGTTTTGGCCTTTTCTGGTTGTATTTTTTTTTCAAGATTTGATAAAGTAACTCCGGCATTTGTATTTTATGAATATTACAAAATTATGTTGTTATTAGTTATAATTTTTATATTTTTATTATCTTGGTCATTTAAAAACAAATATTTATTTTGTTTTGATGAATGATTATGTGTTAATAATTGGTTTTATATATTTGCAGAAATATTTCTTGGCAATGGTCCAATGGTCCTGAAGCATAGTTACGTGATATTTTTAAAAAAATAGAAATTAAATAAATGATGGTAAAAAAAAATGGTTTAAAAATATTTCCTCTTGAAGAAAATAAATAGATAAAATATAGATTTGCAAAGTTTGTACTGGATTACCCGCATATATTAATTTTTCAAAATTATTTCTTTCAATGATATGTATATAATGCAATAATTCTGTGTGCGATTTTAATTAAGCTTTAGGCTATAAGTTTATTATTATTTTTTAGTTCTATCCTAAAAAATAATTTAAAAATCCTTACCTTATAAAAATATACTATAGAATTCAAATAAACTCATCAAGTCGTAGAGAGCTGTTCCAACTACAGCAGACACTTCGATAGTAACCTATCTGTTGAGTTCCTGGCGACCTTGCCCGATAATAAAGCTGATATTAATGAAATTATTTCTATCAAGGTTGATACAATGTATGTCCTTTCACACATGTTTGACTAGCACTTTTATTTTACCTGTTAATTGTTTTATTTATGTCAATTTGTGTAGTGACCAAAAAAATGTTTCCATGATAACTGTTAATGAACTGTTAAGTATATCTTGAATTACTGAAAGAATTATATTAAATATATGTTTATATGAATAAAAATGTGAACATTCGTTTGTCCAAAACAGCTAATCTCAGAACATTTTTAAGCTTGTTGTAATTTGAATTTATGTATATAACGTACTTTCCCCCCAAAAAATCTGCGAAAAATGTTACGATGAATTTTATGCAAAATTTTATTTACTTCTAAATTCAAAGTTGATTTTATCCAGCGCTTTCATGTATCGATTACCTTAATAATGAATACAATCTATCTATATTTTAATATATTTATAGATTCTATTTGAATTTATGTTTATTTATAATTAGTAGTAAACAGTTTTTATTGTGTAATAAAAAAAATTAATCTCCATCCCCACATATATTATTCGATTTTCTTTCAAAAATTACAAAAAGTGAGGTCACATAAAAATGACTATACTTATCCTCACGAAAATTAACATTTAGGTAGGACTACATAAGCTTCACGAAATAACACAAACCAGACCCTTATAAATACAATAGAACTAGAGATAAAACAAAAATCTTTAAGGAGTTTTGCTATATTTATCGTTTTAAACGCGTCAAATCTAAAAGTTATTGATATGGTGTTGAAGAGTAATAACTCATCTTTCCAACGATCATAGATACATTAAATTAGGAGAAAATCCTGAAGAGTTATGAATCATATATTGAATAGCTGAAGGAAAAATGAAATAAGAAGTCAAACCTCGTTTCTATGGCAACGCTGTCAACAGAACATTGCTATTCCTAACCCTATCTTACATCCGTACATATATTATTACAGTAAGGCTCGAAATAAGTTTTGTACCAAATATAAGCTCCTGTCATGCTCAAATACCATGAATGGGGTACCGTTGGATTCAGAATTTCAAGGGGGGTTAGCGAATCGTATTCTCCACTTTTGTTTTTCTTTCTAAAATAAATAAAGTCGGTACAAAAATTTTGCTAGGCTTCAATACTGGAACGGTGGTAGGTCTGTAGATCGGTACGGGATAAATTGGACCTTGAAGATTTTGATGCGTACAGCAAGACCTGCGTTTTAAGCCAAAAAAAAACGTACTATTTTCGAGATAACGCAAGGGCTCGCGTCCACACAACCTTACGTTAATTGTAGTACTGTCATTGAATACATGTCTCATTTCATCGACTTGAGGCCTCTATGATCGAGACAGGAGGAGTTTATATTATTTATTGATGGTGTTTTTGATCGGCAAGCCATATCATCGTTAATTCTTCACCAAATCTCAAGATTGAGCCACCAATTTCGACGGCTTCCTTCTCCTTCAGGCGGGCAAAATAGTCCAATCACCCCGAAAATCCAGACAAACAAGTTATGAAAGTAACCGGAAAATTTTTAGCAAAGATGCAGCTTATTGAAATTTGTAAACATGTTGGTTTCAAACCTTAATGAAGAATTAAATTAATTTCTGTCTCCTTTGTCGATTATATTTATCGATTAAGTAACAATTGATTTCTTCATCTTTTGATATGTTGCATTATTTTATTTTCTTATTCACTGCCTCAATTTCATATACTGATTTTTTGTTTAAATAACGCAATTTTCTATGTAAGATTTTCCAGATTGAAATATCATCAACAAGTAGTACTGATAGGACTACATTTGAAAAAAAATTAAAGTTGAGACTCTTTTTGTTGAGACAAACGCTCTAAACTTCCAATTAATTACAAAAGTCTCATATACTTGACTATAATAAGGTCTATTGGGACTTACGGAGTTGAGCTGTGGGGCTCCACTAAACCATCAAATTCCTCTCGTATCCAACCCTTACAATTCAAAATACTTCGTAAAATCCTCAATGCTTCCTACTTTGTCACAAATAAAATAATCCCTAGTGACCTGAATGTTCCATTTGTTTCCGATTTGGCTCAATCCAGATACCTATCCTTCTATAATAAACTTCAGAACCATCCGAATCCTCTCGTTTCTAACTTTGCTTCCTCTTCGATTGCTCCGAGGAGTCTGAAAAGAAGATGACCTCGTGATCTCCTTAGATAGACATATTATTAGAGTGCTACCAGTGGATAGTTTCTCAACAAGCGTTTTCATGTGATTATATTCCTGTATTTACGTGATGTATTTATATCGTAATACAGTTATAAATATCTTGAAAAAATAGTTAAAAATTGATAAAAAAAACAAAACTTAAGAAAATCACTTTTATTAATAAACAAATATTTTATATACATTTAATTATAGTATACTAAAATACATAAGAATGACTGTATTTATATTTTTACATATTATATTGAATTTTCAATTAGAGAAAAGAAAGTAATTTTATTCTGTTTTTATTAAACATTTTTTTTATAATATCAGTTCTCATTACCCGTAGCTAAATAATTCTTTCATAATAGGCGTTCTCCTGTTGAAAATAGTTTAATAGATGCTCCGTTGCCTCCAATGCTTGATTGTGTTTAATTTTTTTTTGTTTAAGCATTAAAACGAAACGTTTTATTTTTTGCAACATATTTTTGTTCGTATTTAAATGGAGAATAAAGCAAAACTGAGTAAATAGTTTTGTTTTGGTCCAAACAGGTGAGTAGGAGTTTCACAGAAAGAATCGAAAACATACCGTTCCTAGAATATGAATTGAGCTAGTTGTTATCGGGTACATCTTATTGATAATATACCAGCTAGCCGGTAATTATATATTATATGAACAATATATAATTAATCATTATGTAACCGTTAAAAATTATTTTACGGGTTCATTTTTTAAAATAGATATTATACCTGTAAAATAAGGGAAGTAAAAATTAAAAAACACTTTATGAAATATATATATATATATATATATATATATATATATATTTATATATATATATATATATATATATATATATATATATATATATATATATATATATATATATATATAAATTTTTTTTTTCAACATCTCTACTTTTCTCAAAGTTTTGGATGGAATGCCAATATAGTAATTGTTTGTGATGCATTCATTCATAATAGATTTGGTTAATTTCTATTGGAAATCAATTGTTTGTTTTACGCGCCTTCAATTCTAAAAAATACCATACCACACTGTGTACATACAATTTGTCTTAGCGTTTTATCAAATGTAAGGCGTTCTGAAACAAACTCCTTTATAAAATATAAAGATATATATATATGAAAATATATATACATCTATTCAATCTTTGGGGCCTGGGAATTTTATAGATGAAGTGAAATATCATTAAAAAAAATAGCATTTATTTATTTTATTTAAATTTCACTACAAATAAATAGGATAAAAAGATACATCAAATATATTAATTTAAAGATAAGATATGACTCTTCATCTTTTTCGACAAGATCTAACAAAATTTATCAATAGTCTAGATTATGACCAACTAACAAAAAACTGAGTAAATGGTAAGCGTCAGATTAGGTCAGCCATGATTTTGTATAATATATTAATTTATAAAGAAAATGTACAAGTATATTTACCTTATAAATTTTATAATTTTAAGAAACTGTTCGTTGAATTTTGTATCTTTAATCTTACGTATGTTTATTTTAGTTATATTTAAACTAACGTGATAATACTTATGTTTTAATTAGTTAATGTTATTTGATAAAATTATTATAATTAAGATCATAATACACGTTTGTAGGAAATTAAAGGTTCTTTGAAAGCAGTACTTTGAGGGGGAGGGGGGAAAGAAAAAGAAAGATTAGATATGAAGATCATCATCATTACTCTTTTCGAGATCACAAAATACATATAATATATCATCATACTATCTCTAAATCTATCAACGGAAATTATTGTATCTCATAATCCATCGATTGGATCACCGTTGAATAAAACCTCCTTATAAGTTCAGAGTTGCTTTTTATCAATTGTTGCGTTTAATTTCTATCTTTATTTATTTCTCTTTAAGTCGTTCGGTTTATTACAAAAAATCACTAAGCTCATTTTTGATAAAGATTTACTTACACATATGGTTTTGTGAATTTTTTGACCTTATCCGTAAAAAGATTAAAAAAACAATAAAAAACATGATTTTTAGTTACACTATGTGCACAATCTTTTGATTTTACAAAAGATAAATTAATTTATGTTGTTAATGGTTTGAGGTTATGAAATGTTACTTAATTGCATTCTGCAATTGTCCAGCGTATTTTTTCAATTTTTTTTTTACTTTTTCTGTGTTTTTTTTTTACTTTATAGGATTGTCAATCTTCCCCTTGAATCGATCATGTCGCCCTAAACTCATCGATGAATTTAGTGATGAATTAAGAAACGTTCCTATCATATTATGGAACATGAATGAAATATTAAATTTCTTTGGTTGTTCAAAGATTTTTCAGATATTTTTCCACTAAGTCGATTAGGTCTGGTCCAATCTTTTCTATGATTCCCGGTTCCATGAGGGTCTCCTCGTCGAATCCTTCTGCACCCTCAGTTTTTAGTAGCTTTTCCGAATCAAAAGCTGTTGTCGATTCACCACTGAGACCTGCGTAGATGCTAGCGAAAATTGAGAGTCCGAAGAACTCGAGGTGTTTCATTGAAGCGGTTATATCCTCAAGAGTGGGCTTTTTGCCACTGTAACCGAACTTGTCCAAAGATCTGACCAAGGAGTCGTGATAAGTCTTCAACAGGAAATTATAATTCTCTCGTCGAACCGCAGGTCGAATGCTCAAGTACATGAAGTTCGTAACGTCTACACAGGGCGAGTTGTAATTGGGAAACTGGTAGTCGAGGAATCTGAAAAAAACAAAAAAAAAATAAGTATGATACGAAAGAAGTAATCATGTAATTTTTTTTCGAAGTTTTCGCTGTTCCTGGGAGGAGGGGAGTAGAATGGGGGATTACTGCCGTAGTTAAAAGTCGCCTATGCACTGGGTATTTTACACCTAAAAAGACCTCAGAAACTAAACAACTGTTAGCGAGGAAAATATGCACTATTTCAACCGCTTTATAATGAACTATTATTCAAAATATTATATTGACGTGAAGCAGTATTAGAGAGACAAATTTAGTGTCAAGAGACAAAATCAATAAGAATTTTTATTTTTTATTTTCCCCCTACTCCCCAGGAATTTATTTAATATACAAAATACAATATATAAATCCATAAAGAAATATATATACAATTTTTTTTTTGTCTATAAAATATGTATTTACGCCTGTCAACAATAATTTTACAATCAGCAAATGTGATGGCGATAATGAAATAATGACATGACATGTGGAAGGAAAGTACTCAGCAGTACCTCTTCCCTAACTTGTTATAATTACTTAGGTTGTTTAAGGAAGGAGATCCCTCATCCAACGCCTTTTTAGTCTCCTCCTCATTTTCTGAGGTGTCAGCTGTGGCCATGTCTCTTATAAGTCTGTTATTATGTCCATTTAAATTTGTGTAAAATCGTTGATATAGGGTCGTTATATGTTGGTCAACTGTTGGAAAGTGGAGGTCAGTATGTAGAGTTTTGTTAGTATACAAAAAATAATATCTTCTATTAAGAATATTATATACTTAATACAAGAATTTCATGTTAAATATTGTCAAATTAAATATGAAGAATCAAATTAAAATAATGAGAATATACGATCAGTCGGAGCAAAGTTTACTACAGTAATTTAAACACAATTATAATTGTATATATTGTAAATGGTATTACTATTTGAATATAGAACAAAAAATATTTATATTTTATATTATTGAGTCCGCCTTATTGATGTTTTCACTTCTATCGTGTGGTCTTTTTTTTTAAAAGACTTTTTTCTTGATTTTTTATTATTATGTGTTTTGTAACCCATAGCATAAATCGCTGTCCATTGTTACGAAATTCCGTTGATGGGCGTAATCCATCGATGGTATTAGCGCCGAGTTTTGAAACTTACGCGACATACACTTTTTTCGAAATAAATTAATGAAGTATTGTTTCGATTACTCACTTCACAGCTATTGGCCTCTTCTGAAAGTCGTACTTAAACATCATATTGTTTGACCAGCAGTCACCGTGGATGAGGCAACTGAATTCTGAGTCTTTACATTTTCCTGAATTCGTGTACTTTTCATAAAATTCTTCATATGATATGTTCAGCTTCTTTCCTATTTCTTCCCTGCAATGTAGAAAATTATTTGGTTATTTTAAAGAATCGCTTCGTTATAATTATATCATTAATATTTTATTAGAAATATATTTATCTCAGCTCAAAAAGATGGTTTTGATCATTTTACATTGTATAGTAAAATGATTGTGTTCTAAACTTACACTAAATATAATATAATGGTATAGATCTATAATGGTATTATGGAAGGAAGTTTATACCGCCAAATCGGTAATATATGAACCATTAAGCTTATGGATGTTTCATTAAGGTGCATTGAGGATTTTGGATTGTAAGGGTTGAATAAAGAGGAATTCAATGGTTTAGTAGAGACTCAAAGCTCAACTCTGTAAGTTCAAACAGACCTTAGTATAGTCATGTATATGAGTCTTTTGTAATTATTTGTAAGCTTAGGGCGTTTTTCTAATAAATGCTGTATTAATCGGAAACATCGAGTGTTTTTTTTTTGTTATTTCTGAGTAGTACTAAGGGTAAAGGTGATTTGATAAGATGTATGATAATAATAATAATTATAAAAGGCTTAGTGAACCCGAAGGTTTGAATCAGACACCACTATTTTATATTTGCACATATTTATATTTATCATTTATAATTTTATTATACTCTGAATCAACCTTTATTTTGTTTTATGGACATACCAAAATATTAATATATATTCTGTATTTGTAACTTGTTCTAAAGGGACAATAGTCCCAGAATAATTAAATTATTTTCATTCATTCACTAATCGCTGTCAACACACCTCCCTAGATCGGTCGCCCCGAGTCCCTTTAGATCAGCCTTAACTCAATCTTCCCACCTTCACTTCGGCCTACTCCTCGGACGTCTACCATCGGCAGGCCAAATATTAAGCGTTCAGAAATTCTTTTGTTACTAAGCCCAACAATTTTACAAGCCCATTTAATTCGCTGCGATATAATCATCTCAATTATATTAACCTTATACATCCTATTCGGGACAATAGGCGCGATCTATGTAGTTTTATCGCAGAAAAATAACAAGTAGACCATAGATACCTAAACTTCTCTACGTTTTTAAATAAATTAATTTCTATATCGATATCACTGGAATTATCCATCCTTTTTGCAGCTAAACATACACTTTTTCTTTCATTGTTTATTTCAAGCCCTAGTTCTTTACTGGCTTTCATTAACGTTATCGTATTTAGTTTTATAGTTTCCGTGTCTTCTTAACTGGACCAAAATGTTGGTAGAGCCAAGCACGGATGTTATCCCACCCAGATCCAACACTTTCGGTACGCATTACCTCCCTAATGGCATGTCCTGATGCCAAATTAAACAGTACAGGTGAAAGGGAATCGCCTTGTTTTAAACCCGAACGAACCTCAAACATTTCGGATAATTACCGATTCTAACTAGTCTTCGATAATTTCCTTAATGTAGTTAACGAATCGGAGGCAGTGAAGACATTATAAGTAATGTTTTTATTCATAAAGTTACAAATGGCATCTAAAATACAGGGTAATATACTATGGATAATGGGTTGACTGCATGAGTTCACTCCAGGTCTCCTACGGTTAAGAGTATGACATCAGGGATGCAACTACATGAGTGAATAGTCCAGAGAATGATGGGGTTTATATTCCCAAGAATATCAAGCGGTGAAGGGAAGAGTGGGAGAAGTCGGAATAGGACGGCAAAGGAAGTTATCAATAATTAATATTCGTAAGATGTCTGTGTGAAAATGCCCTTTGGCTGAAATCAGTTATTGTTCCCTCTTGATAATGGGCCACCTGTCCCGTCAGTACATTCTAGATAACTATTTCTAAGCTATCAGAGATAGCTTGAACTGGCTATCTAGGGCTTTGTGCTTTTATGTGAGAAACTAAAAGATAAAAGATGATTCACCAATTGGCATATTGAATAAAATAAAAGTTAAATTAATATTATTATTTGTTACGGATTAAGTCCATTCCGTAACTCGTGATTCGATTGATAAGGATTAATTTAAATATTTTATAACATACCGGAAGGAGACTCCTCTATAGTTATTACAATTCATCCTTGAGCCCTTTGTATAATTCAGAATAAGAATGGATTCATTTCATTCTTCAGGATTCGATTTTAATCTTCCAGTTTTGACTGGATTTGAGATTCGTCATTATTAACTGATAAGACACACGTGTAATCGGCATATGTATTGATGTTAGTGTTAGAACGGGTTGGGATGCTAGCTTTATAAAGTGTGTAAACTATAGGACTGAGGATATTACCTTGAGGAGGAATATTACCAGGCTAGGGGTATGAATATTATATATATATATATATACAGTCTATACTTAAATCTTACCAATCAGAGCCCCAGTACTTCTGGATAACTCTTGAGGTATTCAGAAGACCTCCATGAAGGTAACATTTGATGACTTCGTCGTCGGTTAGTACGCTATTGGGCTTGTAGTCATCTTTCGAAATGATCCCCCGCTCTTCGAGTACCTTCGCCATCCCGTGGTACCTTCCCAGTCCCCTCAGGGATAGAATGGCATGGTCCATATCCATACCGTTCTGTCGAGGAACCACGCTGTACCCCTTTATCTGAAAAATAGGCCTATTTATTTCATTAGTTTTGATTGAATTTCTTCAATCAACTGTATCAGTATTTACCTTTAGGTCTTCTAATAGAATCATGAGCGAGCCTGGATCATAATGAATGATGTTACACCAAAGTGGTTCATCTGTATCTTCGAATTCCTCCATTAGATAGGTCATATGTTTATGTATTACGGAATATATCTGAAAATATAGCAAAACTGTAAAAAAGTCTTAAAGGAAGGAGATGGTCCGGGGTGGCGGTCTTAAATAGGTTTAATAGTGGTAAACCTATTTTTATTAAAAGCCAACGTCTCGACTCGACTTTGCGGGATTTTAGAATCTTGTTAATTAGCTTACTCTGTTCATATTTTAATGTACTTGCTTTTTATAATTTTAATAAGCTTATTCACATTGTTTATGATTTTTAGTCTAAATATTACGTACCTTCCACAATTCTCTATCTTTTTGTATCTTGTCCGTTCTAGCCCTGAAGAAGACTTGCAAAGCCCGGTCGAAACGTTCGAGTCGAAACGGCTTTTAATAAAAATGGTTTTACCACTATTTATCCTATTTATGACCGCCACCCCGGACCATCTCCTTTCTTTATAATGCAACGATCAACTATTAAATATTTAATAAAAATGTCTTAATTTATGTAATTTTCATCTTTGCCAAAAAAATCAAGATTGTCAATTACTCATGTTCGAAGTTGACAGTTGGCTTGAAATAATTGTTTTAACATATTAGTTTATTTCCACTAGAATTTTATACCCCATTGTCCATGAGAGCGTCACTTAAAACCCTCAAGGGGATGATGTCTGCACCTCAAGTAATTTTTTTCCATAAGAGAGTAAATTTTCAGTAAAATCTGTCAGTCTTTTAAGTAGGAATACTGCCAATATTTTATAAGTTGTACTTAATAGAGCAATGCCTCCATAATTTTCACATATTAGCTTGTCTCCTTGCTTGTGTATTGGACATATTGCTGCTCTTGTGCAATCTTCAGCCATTTTTCTTCTATCCATATCTTCCAAATTAAGTCATAAATTTCCTGCCACAGATCATTGCCACCATATTTTAACATCTTAGGAGTCATCTCGTCAAGACCTGACAACTAATGATTCTTCATTGACATAACGATATCAATTATTTCTTCCTTCTCCGGAGCTTCTACTTCTTCTGCTCCTGCCTCTACTTCTTCAGTGGTTTTTTTTGTTCAGCAATTCACTAAAGTACTGCATAATCTGGTTCTGGCAGTAAATCCTTTTTTTATTTCCTTTACTCCTTTGTAAAATTTTCTTGTTTCTTTCTTTTCCCAGCCATCCTGCAAGTTCTCAAGTTTTTTTTTTCCTGTGCTCTCTTCTTTATCCTACAAACTCTTTTAGCTTCTCATCTCTTAGGTATGAATTCCTCTCTACTTTCTCTGGTCTTCCTATCTAACATGTTTAACCTCGCCATATTTGTTTCGTCTAGAACTCTCTCACATTCTTCGTCAAACCAGTTACTTCTGGGAGTTGTTTCCTTCTTCCCAAGTACCTCTCTTGCACTTTCTGTCTCTGCATTTTTCACTTTTTCCCATTTATCATTTATGGTTGTGTTTTGTTTAATCTCTTCTCTCTTTATACCTTCTCTTATTCTATTTTTGAATTAGTCCGCTACGTCACTTTTGAGTAGTTTTTCTGAGTTGAAGGTCTGTGTTCTACTTCTATTGATAATAAAATTTTAGCATATGATGGTCAGTATCACAGTCCGATCTCCTAAATACTCTAATGTTTCTGATATCCGATGCTGGCCTAGATTCTATGAGAACATGGTCTATTTGATTTCTAGTTAGACCGTCTGACGAGACCCAAGTCTCTGTGTATTTCTTTGTTTGGGAATTTCGTACTACTGATGACCAGTCCCTTTTCCATTGCAAAATTAATTATACGATGTTCATTATTGTTATAGTAGTCATGTTTGCTTTCTTTACCTATAGTGGGTCTATATAATACTATACAAGATAGGAATATTTTGGCATTCAGGTCGCCTATGATTATTTTCACGTCATTCTTCGGGATTCTTTCATATTGTCTTTCTATTGTGTCATAGAAAATATCCTTTTCCTCTTCTCTATCCTCTGTTAGTGCATGTACACACATGGTTGTTATTTTGAAAATTTTCCTCTAAGGCGTACTGTGCAGATTCTTTCGTTGGTGAGTTTATACTCTATTATAGTATGCTTAATAGATTTTCTAATCATGAATCCAGACCCACATATATTTGCATAGTGCCCACTGTAAATAAGCAGATAATTGTCCAATCATTTCAAGGTTCCTCCAGCCTCCAATTCAAAATAATTGCTAGATCCAGTTCGGTTTTCGGCCTCTTACATTCCACGAAGCTATATTAGGTCTATGTTTTCGTGCCGGGCTCAAATAACACTTTTGACAATCTATAGATCCGAGGCTGTTTATTTTTTTCAAAACTCTTAAGGTTTTTCATGGTTCGTGGGTAGTTAGCCCATTATATTTCCGTTGAAAACACAGATTCGAAAATTTACTCGATCGCAATACTTTCCCATACTATTTATTTTATGTGTAAGTAAAAATTGAAACATTGCTTTCATTGAATGTTTTAAGATAGGAATCGATACTTTGTCGATTTCGATAATAATAGATTAGAATTCTCGTTTCATAAACACGATAGATACGTGAAAGTAGAAAACTTACATGGTTCTCTGATTTTGCGACGTTGTTCTGCTCTAGCCAATCACCTGCTCCCCCAATAGTAAGGAGCTGCTTCATGATGAAGGACTTCTTGGCCAGTCTTCCGTTGCTCAAGACTACTTTCGCTGTTACCCTCAGGATGGTCGAAGTATAGTTCTCTCCTTTTGGTAGTGCCGCTATCGCTTCCACGTCGATAACTGATGCAACTTTAGTTTCTCTGGCGAACCTCTTCAGTGCTACTTCAAGAACTTCTTTATCCATTTCTAAAATAAAGGAAACTTTTAACGAATATGAAACGTTTTTTTTTTATAATATTATCATTACCTATCTAAAAGTAAATGAATAAAAGTATATAATAGAAGTAGCCTATAAGTAAAATCAGATTAAAGAGACTAATGAATTGTTTCATCGAGGTATTGTACAGAGTATTCAGTTACCAGAAGGCCTCGACATATGTTTAATAGTAATATGACTCATTCGATGGAGGAAGATGAGATCAACCTCACCATTCCGCAGGGACGGCAACCACAAACAGAGAGATCAATCCACAGACTTTGTGAGTAGATGAAGTACTAACCATACTAACTAAAGGAATTAATCTTCTGACTTAATGTGGGAGTACAAGCAGACTGATCGGCATCCAGGCCTTGCATGGAGAGAGAGGGGATAGTATATGGGCTATAGGACATTAGTAGCTGTTTAATTTAAACACTTTCTTCAGATGGAAATAATCTGGAGATAGTATAAAACAGAGATAATAAAAATTAAATAATAAATGTTAACTAATAATGGACAATACCTGATCTACGTGAAACGTGAAGTTAAAGAAAACAAAAAATGAATGAAAAAAAAATGGGTTCGTTTCTCAGCCCTAATGAAGGCCTGAACTTCGAGCTGAAACGTCGGCAAGTGTAAAAATAAATGTTTATTTTTGCTATTTATATTTTGACTGATCATCACTTCGATCATTATTATCTTCAATTATTCACTGCAGTCAACCATCAACCCACAAATTAAGAGGAATTAGATGAGTTTTATTTTTATTTAAAAGAGTGTTCATTTGCTTTATTTTATATTATAGTCTTTTCCCTTTATTTGTAGCCTCATAGAAACAGAATCTATCACTTATGCCGTTCAAAGACTAAATTTCGAAATAGCAAAATTTGACTTGGTTAGTTACAGTTTTGATTTGAGTTGCAATACACAATCTTGGCTTAATACATACAGGGAAATATCAGTAAATTATAAATAATTTAAAACTGACTAATACAATTATTTGTATTAAAAAATATATATTATTGTATGAGAAGGAGTTAATTGGGGGGTGCGGTCAAATAAATACTAAATTAAAATATAGTAATTATTTAATTTTTGCCGAAATTTCGACCCACTTTGCAGGTCGTCTTCAGGGCGTAGGATGTAGAACTGCGGGAGGCAGTTGAAATACTGAGCAGTGTTTCAACTGCCTCCCGCAGTGCTACATCCTACGCCCTGATGAATGCCTGCAAAGTGGGTCGAAACGTCGGCAAAAATTAAATAATTACTATATTTTAATTTAGTATTCATTTGACCGCACCCCCAATTAACTCCTCATATTATATCAACGGTCAACCATCTCTACATCATTATAAATATATTATTGAAATTCAAAATTTTATTCTTCTATGAATCGGTTCAAAATATTATGCTAATTAGTGTTTACTTAAAATGATAAAATATAGTTTTTTCATAATAACAAAATAATTATGAGGATATAAAATAATATAAATCAAAGAATAACATTGGGCTGACAATGGATATTCCACAATGGATATCTCCAGGAAGAGATGGTTCCGAAAAATATTTTTTTTTTATAATAATTTATTATTGAAATGAAGATTATATAGGCGTTGATGGTATCAGGATATTGCGCCTTTAAGCCTTTAATAACAACAATAACTAATCATTTATGTATTTTTGTATTATTATGTTTTTTTTTAATGGAACAATTATTTTAAAAAATAAGTAATTTGCAGAAAAAAAAATTAGAACAAATAAATATTTATTCTTTGAAGAGCTTAGCATATTTGATTTTTTTTACTAAAATCGATGACTTAAGATAGAGATAAATAAGTATGAAGCATGTATTTTATTAATTTCCCAATATTATGTTGTAAATTGGTTATAATTTTTATAATTTGTTATTATAAAAACAAATTTTGGTTTTGCGTTGACGATTATGGGTTAGTGGTTGTTTTCATATATTTAAATCAATATTTCTTAACTTAGAAATAGACAAAATGGGCTGAAACGATGTCACCAACAAATGATGGGTTTTTAAAAAAATATTTCCATAAGTAGATAAAATATAAATTTAGAAAGTTTATCATGAATGAACGGATTGTATTGATTTTTCAAAATTATTGTTTTCAATGATATGACGACCAATTTTTCTGTATGCTATTGCGATTTAAGTTGATATAACTTTATTATTACATAAGTCCGTCATTATAAAATTTCTTACCTGATAAAAATACTGTGAAGAATTCAATACAATACAATGAAGTTCCTGGAATTGTTCACAGCTCACACAACTATCGCAGGGATTCTGAGAGAAAACAAGGTTTTGTCCTGTGCAGCCTTGTCGGATATTATTATGAGATTCTTGAGAGCAACTGCTGTCAAGGATGCAACTTTTATCTTTCTACGCATGTTTGATCAGCTCTTTGAAATTTACATCTATTATTGCAATGTTCATTTTTGCATGATAACAATTAATGAACTGTGAAGAATATATTGAATGGCTAAAGGGTTATGTTATCTTATCAAGAAAAAATGGAAACTTTATTATGGTTCTATAACTTATTTTTAATGAACTAAATAATATATTAATTTCTTTTTCATTACGTTTTTACATCTCAAACTTACTATCTCTTTTCATGAATTATCAATTACGGAATATAATATGTGGATTAATGGTTGACTGTAGTGAATAATTGAAGAGAAGAATCGTTGGGGTGACCAGTCAAAACTGGTATAATTATTTTTATTTTTGCCAACATTTCGAGCCAAAGTTTAGGCCTTCATCAGGGCTAAGAAAAAACCAGACAACAATAGCTATGAGAAACTACAAAAAATGAATAGTAAAAAATTAAAATTAAAAAGTTGAAAAGTATAGAATAAAAAATGTAGTTAGAATAAACTTTTTTTTATTATTTTAATGGAATTTACAACTGTATTACATAGAAAATACAATAAGTAAATGTGAAATTGGTAACATGACATGTACAACATGAAGAGAAACTACCCATTGGTAGCACTCAAAAGAATAAACTTAAAATAAAATAAAGTAGATAGAGTGAACATTAAAGTAAAATGAAGTAGGTGGAATAATAACAGTAACAGAGAACTAAGAAATAAATAATAACTAATAAATAAAATTCGCACAGCATATAGTTATCAAATGCCAAAATAATAATAAAATAAAATAATACAACGTATCAAAAGATAAAGGAATCAATTGTTAATTCATCTATTAATATAATCGACAAAGGAAACAAAATTAATTTAAAAATTCATTTTTGTTTGGAACCAACATATTTACAAATTTCAATAAGCTGTATCTTTGCGAAAAATTGTTCGATTTCAATGATTTTTTTCCTTCTGTAGACAATTTAGTAATGTTTTATATAATCATGGGAATAACCCCCAGGGAAAAGTGTGTTATTTTTTAGTTACTCGCAAATAAAGTTTGTTTTCGTTCATAACTTTTTTGCCTGAATTTACGGGATGATTGGACTATTTTGTCCGCCTGAAGGAGAAGGAAGCCTTTGAAATTGGTGGCTCAATCTTGAGATTTGGTGAAAAATTGACGATGATATGGCTTGCCCATCAAAACTACCATCGATAAATAATATAAACTCCTCCTCTCTCGATCATAGAGACCTCAAGTCGACGAAATGAGACATGTATTCAACGACAGTACTACAATTAATCTTGAAAATAGTACGTTTTTGGGCTTAGAAACGCAGGATCCGATAGTTCCGGGGGATCTACAGACCTACCACGGTTCCAGTATTGAAGCCTAGCAAAATTTTTGTATCGACTTTATTTATTTTAGAAAGAAAAACAAAAGTGGAGAATACGGTTCGCTGACCCCCCGTGAAATTCTGAATCCAACGGTACCCCATTCATGGTATTTTGGGCATGACAGGAGCTTATATTTGGTACAAAACTGATTTCGAGATTTACTGTAATAATATATGTGGGGATAACAACAACAAAGTATGGACTAATGGAATAAATGTAATGAAAATAAGGTAACATAAGAAATGAATTAAAAACGAAAAGTACAGGCTTTTGATCGAGTCTGGCATGCAGGTAAACATTGCATCAATTCCTGCCCTCTATATATTTCCTATTAATCCGCTCTTACCTCACAGATAGAACCTTTAAAGTAAATTGTAAATCTTCTTATTCATCTCACTTTTCCCAGTCCGCTGGCGTTCCTCAAGGGAGCATCTTAGGTCCCATCCTTTACACAGTATATACAGCTGATATCCCAACCTATCTTTCAACCGTCCTCACTACCTATGCTGATGACACATATGTGCTATCTGTCAAAAATGAACCGAGTATTGAATGACAAACTCTGCAGTCACACATTTTAGCCATTGAAGAATGTGAAAATTGGATGATTAAAATTAATCCAAGCAAAGTCCAACGAATTAGTTTTACCCTTCGCCGTAAACCCACAACATCCTGTCCTACAGTATCCTTTAACAATATTCCACTGATCCCAGTCGAATGTCCGTTACCTAGGACTCCTTTTTGTCAAAGTCCCTACCTGGAATCCTCATACTAGACTTAAAAGACAAGAAACTGGCAACAGATTCCGACTACTACAACACAGGCCCATTTGGACATATAGTATTGAGCTTTGGGACTCTTGAAAAACATCAAATTCTTTCGGTATCCAATCCTTACAATCCAAAATCCTCCGTAGAATCCTAAATTCTCCTTTTTATGTTACAAATAAAAGACACACAAAAAAAATAAAATAAAGAATAAATGGGGTGACATTGTTACTAAAATATGATGTAATAGTATGCTAAAAGGAAGTGAGATAATCATATAATATAATATTGGTGTCGTGTGAATAATAGTTTTAATATTTTATTTTTAACGATCAAGCTACTACCTGTATTCTTATCTACAGCAGACCTACTAATTGTCGTTGCTTATGACAGGTTCAGGTGAAGATACAACGTTAAAAGGAAAAG